CCATTAACACCTATGCAGTCATAAAACAAAAAGATGGAGTTAATGCACTGGGCAGCCTGTGGGCTGGGTGTATGCAGCCCAATTGGCTCACAGCTGTGGCCCAGCTGCATGCTTAAAAAAAAATAAAATCGAAATTTGCCATTCTGGTTTGAAAGGAGGTGGGGCTGGCTGAGGGGGAGACATCTGGCTGGAGCGCTTCTGCCAGCAGGGGGCTGGTGAGTGCAGCAGGGGATAGGGTGCTGGAGAGTGGGTCTCTGGGCAGGTTTGTGGGGGAGCACTGGGAACTAGGGATTTGTGAGGGTGCTGCAGCAGGTTTTAGGCTGCCGAGCCCCACGGGGTGCGGGTGCTGGCTTCCCGCTCCTAGCCCCCCTCTGTGGATGGGTCTCTGGGTGGGGGGTGCTGGGCATAGGGGATTTTGGGGGGGGAGGGGCACTGTGGTTTTCAACCTGCATCAGCTCACAATGATAAATAGGTTGGGAACCCCTGGGTTAGTGGGTTACATATTGTTATAATGAGCCATAAATCCATTATTTGTAGAATCTAGCAGAGTAATGAATTTAAGCTCCCTTACATTATGTGCTAACTACTTATGCTAAACCATCTGTTCCACATTGCATTTTTCTGTGAGCTGGGAGTTCCTTTCCCAGGCCTCAAGAAAAGCTGTGTTTGGCTCAAAAGCTTATATTACCTCACCCACCTGGTCTCTCTAATTACCTTGGGCAAGTCTTTAACCTCCTGTTCTCCTACCTTTTAAAAATAACTACCTCAGGTGTATTGAAGATTGTTTGTAAAGGAATCTTGCAAATTGCCACAAAATTCATCAGCTTAGGTACAAAATCTTCTCACCCACTCTCCCTGTGGTGGCAATTGAGATAGCATGAATATTTTACTTGTTCGTTTAGAAACAAACAGATGAATGGGCAAGTGGAATTTGCTGTTAGATAGTGCTGTAGTATCCTCCAATGAAAGACCCTACATAAAGGCAATCCATTATGTGTTTGGGCCAACTTGCCTTTTTGTATCTCACTGTAGTTTTTGTTAAATGCTTGCTCTTTGGGATGTGAGCAGCTTCTGTGTTAAAATGTTATCTTGTTCTTTCATGTTTGCCAGAGTGCGAGAGATCTCCCCACTGTCCTTTGAGGAGAGTGAAAGGCGAGCCCTGCTCCTGAAGAAGTGGGCCCCGTACAAGCAGAAAGAACATGAGGCAGAGATGGAAACATTGAAGTCTCTTATGGCAGCTCAGCAGGAGGCACTAGAGGAATTGCGTCGCGAATCAGAAGAACTTTACCAAGCAGCAATAAGACGAGATGAGGACCTGTTTCCCTTTGAGAAAGAGGGGCCTAGTTACACACCACAGGTTCCTGGCTATGAGGCTCCTGAAGGGAAATGCATCGACATTACCAAAGTGTACAAACAGTGAGATCGGAAGCCTCTGCCACGCAGGTGGCAGGAGATACTCAGTGCATTAAAGGAGGACACAAGGGGATGCAACTAGACTATTTCTTTTGCTTTTTCAAACATCCCTATGCACATGGCTGTCAAAAGAAAATAAAAACACCACCTGTCCTTGTTCCCTTTCTTTTTATAACTGGCCACCTTGACAATAAAACTTCCAATAAAAACAAAATACTTTAGAACCCCGTTTATCTAACGTTCCCTTTGCCGGCTCTCTGCATTTACCAAACAACCATGACTCCAGGGCCAGAAGTGGGCAAGCTCTCCTGTAGCCATTAGATGTTGCTGCAGCATAGCATTTTCCCATTCCCTGGTTTATTCAGAGTTTTGATCATCTGATCTGGCCCCGGTCCCAAGCAGACCAGATAAACAGGGTTCTACTGTACTGTATTTTTGTGCCACAAACTGAAGCACAGTTCCATATAGAGAACTGTGGCTTTAGTGAACGTTATTTTTTCACTTATAGAATATTTTTTCCCCTTTAATTTATTCCTGAGTAACAATTCCTCACTCTGGACAAACCATAGTTCCTGAGAGTATAATTGTGCCAGGAAGAAAAATTGTTAAAGCGATCGTATGTCAGTCTACTGTAGTGGGAAGATAACTGTCAATTTCTCCTTTAGCTCTAATTCAGGTTTTGTTGAGGTGCCTGTGTACAAATCAAGGGGAAAACAGATATGATATATATCACAACAGAGTAAATATAGCTTTTCATACTGCATGGCTATGTGATAAGAGATTCAATTTAACTAATTTGCTTAAAGCCATAAGACTTATCTTTGAAAGTCACTGAAGTCTTTATTTTTGTGATAACTTTTAATGCTTTCACAAACATATTTAAGAACAAAAACAGCCTGAGAATAATTTTGCAAGGGCAAATGACTGGTATAGGTCAACTTTATTTTCTGTCTGCTGCCCCATAGCACACTGTTAAGGATGACAATAGTGCATCTGTACAAACTTTCTTTTTCAAATACCAGCTGCTTGGGCTGTCCTGATGACTTTAATCTCTATTGCCAATGGAGAGGGGTAGCTTTTTTTTTTTTAATTCCTCATCTGGCTAGCCTGGTCTTGGCATGCCATAATGGCAGCATGCTTAGCCCAGGTGAAGGAAGTGAGGGGTGGGCTCTAATAGCAAGAGCAGCCGGACTACATGGATGTGTGCTGTTTCAAAGCAGCAGGCATTGTCCTTGTCTGGATCAATGGGAAAGGCAGAGGACTGTAGCAGACAATAATTAAAGTGAGCACCTGAACTATCCTTTTAAAATATTTATATCTCAATAAGACATTTCTTAAACACCATTAAATGTACTCCAAAATAGGCATTAATGAGGTGGGGGACTGCTGTGCGCAGAAGTATAAGCTGAGAAGTCTTTCTCCTTTAGAGGCTACAGTCTTGTTTCAGAATCAAATGGCAGAAAAATAGCATTGGCCTCACATCTTCTGGTATATGGGGGCCAACTATGGTAGATAGTCTTATTACTTTGGTTTATCTTGACCAAGAGGAAGGTACCAGTCCCTTGGTGGGCTTTCCCTCAGCTGCCACACTGGATCATACTTTTGTTTTTCCAAAAGCCGGGCTCTTTCACTCTTGCATAGGGATTCCTGCAATGCATGACAATATAATACTCAACACTCAGTGTGCTGCATTTTCAAAGCACATTATAAACATTAACTACTCACACAACAACTCAAGTTACTTCTACCAGTGATCCTTTTTCAAGATGCATATAAAAATTAATTTGCCATACTAAAATGAAAGCAGCTTGTAATGGCAACAAAAGGAAAAGTCATAGCAGAAAATGTTTGACATATACTCTATTAGAATAACTATTACAAGTTTAAAAGCATACACCGATAGCAAAAGGCATGACTATTCCTGTACAAATAATTATCTTCAAAAGATCATAACTTTTTATGGCAAAAACCCAAACCTTAAGGCCTATATTTTCAAAAGTAGCTATTGGTTTTGAATGCCTCGATTTTGGGGTGTTCGGTGTTGCGATGCTTTTAAAGTGCCTTGTTTTCAGACAGTGGTGGACGTCCACCCTCTTAAAATCAGGCCCCTCTACTGTCTCAAGTTGGCAACACAAGTGTTATTTTGAAATTTTAGGCTTAATGATCCTGATAAACAAAGCTTTAATAATAGTAGCACTAACACCACTATGACTATTTATTTCTGCCTTAATGGCATTCTATTAAGTTAGGGTGTGTTTTTTCAAATTCTCTTTTCATTGGCAAGACAGCACAACTGAGAATGATGCAAGGAATATGGAGAACTGGTATGAGGTTGTGGGCATAGGGGATAGAAGTATAAAAAAGACAGGCTTTGGAGAAGGAAACGGGAAAAGTAAGACTGACATTGTTCATGGAGTGGAAGGGAGAAGGCAGAGAACATGAAAGGTGCTAAAGTCAGAGACGTATACTGTGATGAATGAATGATGGACATTGGCTCTTAAAAGCAATGACAAAGGTTTAACTTGAAATAAGCTAATGGGGAGCTAGTGGAGAGATCTGAAGAAGGGATGATACAGTCAAAACAATAGGAGAGGAAGATGATTTTAGTGGCAACATTTTGTATGGATTAGCATGGGGAAGAAAGCAAGGCATTTTTCCCTCTACAGTTTTGAAGAAAAGGTTGTGGATTGAAAAGGACAGTGGCAGGCAATTTAGGCTCAACATTTTGTTATTTTTAAAGGATTTGTAAAATCTTATAATATTGCAGTTGTTAGTCCCCTCTCCCAGAAACAAAACACACCCAAGAGTTAAATGTATTGGAAAATTATCCAACACCTACATAGTGCCTCACAAACATGGAAAAGGCCTGTTCTCATCACTGACATAACTATTCTTCTATAGATATTACACCAGCCTTGTGACATTCTTGCCTACTCAATTGTGGAAGTACTTTATACTGATAAATTTGAAACATCTACTTGTTTGTGGTATGAGTGGCTGAGTAGATTTTTTTGTGGGGGAAGGTTAATGCTGATGACCATGTTGCATGCATGATGCACAATTTATTGTTTATACCATTATTAATACTATCTTCAGTTTGGCATTCATCATACCTTAGCATCTGGACTTTTGCTTTTTTCCCACTTTATGCAATTGCCATAGTCTATTTTCCACTGTCCACAGGAGGGTGCTTCCCCATACGTATAATAGTTATGGAATAAATTACGGATGCCCTTACAGTGTTTCCATTCAGACCAATAATCCTCACATGTTCGTGGAGGCTGGTAAAATAGCAAAAAATACGTTAAGAAGACACCTGGAGAAAAATCCTGAAATTTGGCCTCAGTATAAGGAACAAGATGTTTCTGAGTTTAAAAATGCCCAGTCTATGTTGTCATGGTGGGAAATCAAACCTGTCCCATTCATTTCAGCTGTCTTGATTGGGGGTATTTTCCCCACACACCATCTCAGTGTATTGTGTTTTGAGATTAAATAGTGTGCTATTATGTCTTTTCTCCTCTATCTGACCAAGAGTCTGATTGTCTTTGTTTCTTTGCTGTACAGAGGTTGGGACAAAGAGGCCCTGTCTCATGAGGGTGTGCCGTAGGAACTATTGCATTACTAACAATTCAGTGGTAAACAGCTCAAGGTAAGACTCATGTTTTTAAGGAATAGAATTTGGATACTAATATTCTTCTACTTTATCAGTTTCATCCTGAAACATACAACAGGGAGTTTCCCACTTCTCAGAACACCTGAGCCACTAGCCAGAGTGCTGGGCCCTGTTCTCAGCCTTTGCCACCGACTCACCGGCGGACTCTGGGCCCACCCCTTATCCTGGGAGTGTCAATTACACCCTCTGCACACAGGGGTAATGCTCCTGCCCTCGCTGCTTGGGGGGGGAGTTGGCAGCGCGCATGGAGGAGGTCAGGCGCCCGGGGACGGTATTAGCCGGAATCCCCTGTGATCCCGGCTGAGGCCACCGCGCACAGCTGGGCCGCTTAGAGACGGCGGGGGATGGCCTGGCCCAGAAGCGGACCCTCCCCCCACATCATGACCGCTCGACGGGCCCCAGGCGGTGCGCGCGCGCGCGCGCGCTCCCTCGTTCACTCACCCTCCACACGCCGCGGTCAGCCATGCCGCTGCCCGGCCCCGTGAGCCCAGCCCCACACGGAGCTCATCGAACCAATCGGACAAGGGTGTATGACGGACAGCTCAATCCCAGCCAATCGCCGGGGAGCGTGTAAAACTACGTTTTCCGGTCGCGTGAGGCGGAGTGGCCAGAAGGCCAAAGCTGAGCCAGTTGTTGCCACGGCTACCTATGCTCCGCCGCAGGCTGGGCAAAGCCAATAAAGAGACAAGAGCTGGTCTGAGCGACACAGCGCTGAGCCACTCAGCATCCTCCTGCCTCCGGCGCGGAACAAATGGTAGAATGGTGCGAACTGTGAGACATGCCACGTGCAGCCAGATTAAAAATATTAAATAATAGTCATGAATAATGTGCTGCCCCGATAACTGCAGTCCTTAGTGTGAGAACCCTGGGGCTAGACTGGGCAACCATTACCATGGTGAGCACGTACATGAGGAGGCCCAGTCAAGAATAAATGCTCACTAACCTAATGGCTGCAGAATCAGCCCCCAGAGACCATTTCCCCAAGTCTCTCAGAGCACAGTGCTGTGCACAAGCCGGCCGCTCTCTGCTGCCCCGGGCGGGCTGTACTGACCGCAGGGGGCGGGATCCCCTGCAGGCTCCGGGCAATGGCCGGTCCGCCCCCAGCTTGCCCGGGGCGGCTCAGCGGCCCTTTCCCGCGGGCAAACGGGAGCGACCAGCGCCCTGAGCCCGACTGCACCGCCCGAGGCGCAGAGCCCGGCACCCGCAGGCTCCCGGTCCGGGGCGTCTCCCGCGAGGCCCCGGGTCCTCCCGGGTAACCAGTGCGCGGGGCTGCGCCCGGGGCAGCTGCGGGGTCCCCAGGAGCCGCCGCCCCGCCCGGAGCCGCGTTCCAGGGGCTGCAGCCGCAGCTCAGAGGCTGGGCGCCTCCC